TGATATTGAATTGATAAAGTGTGAATAAAATAAGTGAATTGTAATCATCCAAATATTACCAAATATGGTATGAGGCAAACATAATAGCACGGACGAAAAAGGTAAAACGAGACAAAGTTAAGGAGACGGAGGGAGTATATTAGATCATGTTATAACATACTCCGTATGATTTCTCTACAAACTTATAAGAGTGAATAAGGGTTAGGGTATTTTGGGTATAGAAAATGTGTTGGTTGTATCCCATAGCAATACATAATTGTACAAAATGATTAAACTATTGTACCTCACATGACTTTCTTTACATTCCCGTTAGTTTTTCCGTCAAAGTGAAGATCTCTTGAGAACCCATTCATTTCTCCTTATCTGCTTGGCTTGCCAAACGTTTACTTCCACCGAACTAATTAATTAGATTGAAGCTATCATTAATTGTGATTCTCTTAAATCATATGATTCATATCCGTATGAATAATTCGTCCATATCTAAGCATCACGCACAAAAGCAGTTTTGGACAACGAGTTTAGGTTAAGAGGCCGTTTGTCAACACTGTTTTTGGTTTATCAGGCTTATCAGTCAACTTTTTTACCAAACACGTAAATTTTGCTTTCGCGTGCTGAATTGTGTAATAAGTAGAAAACGTAAGGCTTGAGTTACTTTTCTGGCTATATTGGATGAAGTTAGTGTAGATGACCATTTTAGATATTTTTACAAACGGAGTATAATTTTTTCTTTATTTTATTAGTAAAATATATTTTAAAATAATTTTTTCTTAAATCAGCAGAATCAGCCAATGTAGTCATTTCAGCCAGAACTTCATAAATTTCAGAAGAATCAGTCAAATCAGTCGATTTTCGTGCTACCAAACGGGCTCTAAAATGGGATGAAATTTGGATACATGTTGATAACGTTTACCTTAAGCTAAGGACCGTCTCACTACATGAACTATGATTCTTTGATTGTTTAGGTATGATATATATCATTTTTTCTACTCTAAATTTTAATTTGACTCGAGCCACTTTTACTAATACGTTTATTCACTTGATTGTTAATGCGCTAGAGTTTCAATTTTCTTTGCAACAATAGAGATATAACACACCCTTCAAAATAAAAATTGGGAATTATGAACAAAATTATTACACCCTCCATTCCGCTAAAACTAGCTCATCTTTCTTTTTGGTCGACCCGTCCCACTAAAATTGTCACATATATGGGATCTAAATTTAGTAAAATTTGTGTGGTTCTAAATCATTATGAGTTTATTCTTATTTTATCGATCCATTCAATACCAACCACATACACTCACATTTCTCAATAATCGTGTCACCTCGTCTGGTCTCATTGTAAGTGAGACGGAGATAGTATTATGTTACCGTGGAGGGTAAGGAATTTCATGTTATATATAGTGCTGTATTGGTTTTGAATTTTTCCGGCACAATGAAGCTTAAGTTTGGTTTAGTAAAGTAACATTTCCTTTAGAATTTTAGAGAATAAATGTTACGACATTTCTGAGAGTTTAAACAAATGACAGTTTTTTTTTTGTCAAACACAAGGATAATTCCCGAAATATGAGTAAAAATGTTTGAGAATTCCAAAATAGGAATGTCATGTTTTTATTCCCAAAATAAAAGTAATTATTGTCAAACTTAAAAAATACTGTCATGTTTAAAGTCTGGTACAATAAAAAAACATGGCAGTGATTACTCATATTTTGGGAGTAAAAACATGATACTCCTATTTTAAAATATGCAAACGTTTTCAGTCCCATTTAAGGTAATATCCCTTAATTCCTTAAACATGACATGCATCAATAAGACATCCACTTACTCTTGGCAATGATAATTTTTTTAGGTATATTATTTTGTGTGGGTTTGTGAGTTTTTATTGTTGAAATATGCTTTTAATTTTTTCTCCTTACATGTGAGAAAGTTTATAATTATTAGAGCTTTCTCTACAATTATAAAAGCATGAATATTGTTAGTGTAAAATGGTACAGAGAAAAAATTTCGTGTCATTTTAAAGTTTAAAATAGTAGTCTTTGTTGTTTGCCTATTTATCAGTATCCCTGCAATGGCCTTGGGCATTACCACGCACGCGCAACGCGCGTTACATAACTAGTTGGGTATTATACATGTAAAGTGTTGGGATATCGTGTTTGAAGAGTTTTGAAAATGAAAAAAGGGCAATTTTTAATTTTGACTGAAACTACACCCTTATCAACCTTATTTGTGTGAAAGATACAAAAATTAGGTTTTAATTCAATTTTGACCAAGAAAGCAACGTTTACAAAATTTTGGATAACTGGAGATGAAATTTACCAAATCGAATACACATGGGAATGCCACATTGCTAAAAATGTGTTTTCCTCTATTTAATATACACTTCAGTTTTACGATAAAAAAAAAATATATACTTCAGTTTTTGTTTTCAATGTAGGTAATGTTTTAAAAGAGAGTTAGCAATTCAATATTTTAATAGAAATAATATAAATAACATAATATGATTCAATGGGATATTATTAAAAAAGTATCTATAAAATAAATAAATAAATCAATCAAATAAAAACTAGATCTAAACTAATTACACAAGACCAAATAATTCCAAGTCGATTAGGTGAGATCAAATCTCATATCAAAGAGAACTGAAGACCATCTTCAACGATTTGTGTGTGTGTATATTATATACTCCGCACTAATTTAGTTATTCATTTACAAGTAGACATGTATGTGACCCAAAATCTTTATATATATTTATGGTTCGTTATATTTAAATTTAAATTTTTAGTTCCTGACAACTAGCACAATCAATATGTTATATATTCATATGCTTAAAGATAATACTTTGTATTTATATTTGAATTCTAAATTTTAGTTATAATTTTTCATGATTATTTTGTGTATATATTTTTTATGCATGTTGTGAGAGACTTACAGACAGTATGAACATATTAACAAATTTTAAGTTGTAACATTTTTAAAAAAGTTAAAAATTATTTTGATAATTTTGAAAATTTTAAAGGTTTCTCAAGCCGGATGGCTAGGTGAACTACCCGACCCGCTCGTACAGGACTACAGGCATGTATGTACATGTGATTATGCTCGTTTCTTGTGTGTCAGGCCGGGCCTGCCCATAGCAATGGACAAAAAATTTAGAAATAATTCGGCCTGAGCCCGTTTTTGTACAAGTCTAAAAAGGAATATGTAATGAAAAGAGCAAGTACTCCATCACTATATATAAGGAAAACCCTTGAGTGAATCACCTAAATAGAAGTAAAAATTGGTTTAAAATATCAAAAATATGAGTACATTGTTTTAAATTCTCTAAATTGAATTAATCAAATGTGTTTGGACAAATACACCCTTTTAGCTATTTGGTTGCCCAACCCAGCCACCACTGTCTATCTCCGGCCACCTCCACCGGCTACTGGCCATCACCCAACTACCCTGCCTGCCGATTTCGTCAAAATTTTCAAATTGGTTTTTTCTGCCAGTTTAATCACGATGGCCTCTGCCAACGCACTGCCCTGATTGCCTAACCGAACTGGGGGCAATTAATTAAATATGAGACATTAAGGGTAGAAAATTAAGGTAGTCTTAGAGGTCATTTGGTAGCACGAAAATCGGCTGTTTTGGCGATTTCTGTTGAAATTAGGGATGACAACGGGACAGATCGGGGATGGTTTTACATATAACCGTACCCGCCCCATTACCCAATGGGTAATTTTTACCCAAACCATAACCGCCCCAACGGGTAACGGTTATAACCGCGGGTAACCGCGGGTAATCACTTTATTAAATGAGTCATTGATATTTTAATAAAAAATAATATTTTAAAAGGCGAAAATTGGCATCACCTAGACGACGCTAGACTCAGACGTCACTTTAAAGCTTCATATATCTATAAGACGAGAAAGAAGAGAACCTAAATTAATTTGAACCTAAAAATACTTAGTCTGAAAAGTAATTAATCACGAAAAATCATATACAAAGTAATAATCAAACAAGGCTATTAAGTTCTATTGAGAACTTTCATTCTTACACTATAGTTAGTACATCTATTTTCCATATATACATAATGAACATTAAAAATCTCATCTTTTATTAGTTGTGGGACAAATAATGATAAGAATGTAATAAAAATATAACTAAAAATAAACGGGGCGGGTATGTGGCGGGTAATGGGGCGGACATGCATAAAACCGTAACCGCCCCGTTACCCGTAAAAACAAAAACGGGTATTCTCCGCCCCGTACCCATTACCCGGTCAATGCGGTTTTCCCCATTTTGACCAGGGCGGTTCGGTGCGGGTATCCATCGGATCGGTCACAATTGCCATCTCTAGCTGAAATTTATGTTCTGACTAACGTGGCTACATTGGTTGATTCTGCTGATTTAACAAAAAAAATATTTTTAAAATATATTTTATTAATAAAATAAAGAAAAAAATATATGTAAAAATACGTAAAATGGTCATCTACAGTAACTTCAGCCAATACAGTCAGAAAAGTAACTGCAACCTTACTTTTTCTGCTTATGACACAATTCAGCGCGCGAAAGCAAAAATTACGTGTTTGGTGAAAAAGTTGGCTGATAAGCTTGATAACCCGAAAAACAGTGTTACCAAACGACCTCTTAATTGTAAAAATTTTAAATTTTAGCCTTATTTATGCAATTATGTTTCCATTTATGATATTTTTACTTGGACTGTAATTTGCTGATATGATCTGATCTGATTCCTTTGTATTTTTATAACTATCCAAGTCTGATGTAATCTGGGACAAATTAAAGTTCAACTAAAAACATCCCTAATCTAATTTAGGGAATTACTCAAAATCCTTTAAACAAAGTAAAATTTTCGACGTTTGAAGTTCAAAAAAGGAACCCCAATCTGTGATGCAAACGTTTAATTCGGAGCGTAATGAATCGAAAAAGTCTAAAGAAGAGAACGAGGCGCCCGTGACACGATAATGGACCCGATCTCCTCAGTATTCCCACCCACGCGCCTACATCTCTTTCACCCTCTCTCTCTCTAACTTTCCCTCTCTCTCTCCTCCTTTTCTACACTATATAATCCTCTTTCCATCCCCTTCCCTCTCCAATCCATTCCTCCTTTTCTCTCTCTTGTGTACGAATTTCAAGCGTAAAAAATAAAATTTACTGCTCATATTTTCTTCATATCTTCATCCCCATAATGGAAGAAGTGATTTGTAATAAGCGAGTTCGAGATGACTCGGACGAGTTCAGCGACGGCTCTCCCGATGTGAAGAAGCTCCGGGGCGACCTTCTCGACGACCTAGACGAAGTGAATCTCTGGACGGAAGGTGGGGATCTCGAATCCTTCATGAAGAGCTTCGAGGAAGAGATTTCGCCTTCCCCGTCCAAGGCGGTGGAAATTATTGACTTGACGTCGGATTCCGGCGATTCTCTGCCGGATCTCGGGTACCTGTTGGGAGCCTCGGACGACGAGCTTGGCCTCCCGCCGGCCGGAACGTCGCTGGCTGGGGAGCAGGAACCGGAGAAATCCGAGTTGATCTGGGTTTCATCCGACCCGGTTGAACTGAAATACGATAGTTGGGGCATGGACGGGCAGATACCGAGTTATGACTCGTTCGAGTTCGGGTTATCCGACCCGGTAAACTTTAGCACTGTCAATGATGGCGAGTACGAAGCTCTGGAGGGATTATTTGACCATTCGGATCTTAGTTTGGGTTGGGGCGATAATTTGTGGAGACCCGAGACCATGCCGTTGGTCTAGAATTGTAGATCTAGGTTTAGAGTAATCTTAATTTGTCTTTCTTAAATTGTTTTTGTTTTTATTTGTTAGAGGGAAATCATTGTAAAATTAAAGAGGAATTTAAGTTCTCATTTCTCAAGTTACCGAGAAGGCGAGAATTTAATAGTAAATTTTGTATTTTTTTTTGAATTCCTGCGGTCATTAAAGTCTTCACAGGTGATTATTTTATGATGACAATAATAATAACAACAATAATAATAATAATAATGTTGTAACCGATTCATCACTCCTAAAATGTGTTCTCTCCTAATTCGAAAAAAGTTGAACTGCACCAGAAGAAATAGCATGGATAATAAATTAAGGGCCTGTTTGGCAGTGACTGCAATAGCTGAAATTTCTGGCTTAAATGGCTTCTCATTTGGCTTAAATGGCTGAAAGTTTTGAAGTGAAAGTATTTGGTATTATTTTGGCTGAAGTGACTGATTGAATGTGTAATTACCATAAAGGGTATTAATATTATTGCACCATTAAATAATGTGTCTAAGTGTTTCAATTATCAATTAAATAAAAAAATGTTGAAGGGGGTGGATACTATAATACGAAGTACTGTATATAATACTCGTATTTGTTGAAAGGCAGTGGCTTGAATCTAATATGCAATACGAAGTGCACCCAGAAAATGATTTAGCAGTGCTTACAACCTTCCAGGGGTGTGTTTTAGTTAAAAACATGGATAAAAATGTCTTTTAATAGCTTCATAGTAGAAAAATAAATTTCAGCTGAAAAAGTAGCAATATACTTACTTTTTGAGCTGATCAGACAAAACAGCCGGATCAGCCCATTGCATTACTGTTTGGTTATTTTTATAGATTTTAAGACTTATAAGCCAATTTCTAGTCCCCAAACGGGCACTAAGTTTGATTTTATTATTTTGCCTTTTTCGATACACGCACCTTATACGCCTTTTGTTCATTTTATTTCTCTTATTTTACGGGTTATCCAAAATTAAATGTCACGATTCAATATGTGACTTGCAACATCTCAATTACAATTCTACTTTTGAACCATTTATTTATAATAGTGTGAAATCAAAGAACATACAAGTATAAAATAGACCAAAGATATTATACCTAATTTTTCATATAATTTCAGATAGTTTGGATTCATAAAATGGAGCAAAGATAATATCTAATTTTTGAAATAATTTTAAATAGTATGGATTCGTATGTTGACCTTAGATTATTCTAGCAAATATTCTTACTAATTAATCTATATTAATCAACCGTTCACTCCTAAAAACGTTGTCACATCACCAACATAAGGATAATATTAATTTAAAGTAAACTTTGAATAATTATGTTACCCCTCTATTTGAAATATTTAAATCAACTACAATTTCCTTAAAACTGATTTAGATAAATAATTCGGACATTTTCCATTATATTTACATATCTTCTTTACACATATTCGTACATTTGTAATTTAAATTGATTTTAGTTATACTTCATCTATTCCGAAATTAACTTCTCACTTGGATTTCGCACATTAAGAAAATAAATTTACCGATGAGTAAATTTTACTGTTTTGACACTGTTTCGACAGTGTGACACCGTTTTGCACTATTTTACATTGTTTTGCATTGTTTTGATGTAGATTTGTTTGTCAAATAAGGAAGTGGAAAATTATTTCGGGAATCGGGACTGTCCGAAAAGGAAAGTGTGGAGTTAATTTGGAGATGGAGGGAGTATGTTTTATTCGGGACTGTCCGATATTTATTCCACATAAATGATAAATGACATAATCTTTACTAAAGTAAAGTTCTATACGTGTTTGATATTTATTGTTAAGAAAACGAAAGAAAAGAAAAGTACGGAGTATGATAAACAAAATACGTATGTCATAATGCTCTTGTAGTTTGAGCTTGACCCATGACCAAAGTTGTACCCTACGCCACTCGTTACATCATAATAACGCATTGCCAGTAAATTAAATGGGGTGTCTTCTAGAATTGCAGGGATTTTAAAATGCTCATAAATATTAGGGTCCACGATCAAGAATTCCAATGGTTTCTTTCACTCATTCTTCTTCCAAACGATTGAATCCCCAAATCATATAAACAAGACTTTTGAGAGGTTCTAAGTCATGTAATTCAGTCAGTCCAATTATGGTATATCTTGTATCCTTGCGTACTAGACATCTAACACGCAGGAATTTCAATCCTTAATCATTCTTCCTACTTTCTCATCATTCAACCACCTGAATTACCAGTGCGGGTAGGTTCCCTTCATTCATGTAACTATTGTAAGTATGAAAAAATGACCCAAATATTACTTTAAGAGTTTTAGTTGATAAAGATATGATCAAATTATATGAATGGACTGAGATGCCCCTACCCCTAATTACTAACCCTCCTTGCACTCGAAACTGCTCCTCTGCTTCAGACTGATTAGCGACTGGTAAACCACCGACGACGTTCATTATCTGCAACAGAAAGAGGGAGATAGTTGTTGTCGTCATCGCCCATGCCCTTATCATCGCTTGTGCTGCATCTTCGATGCTGTCAACAAGGTTTGGCGTTCCTTTTCTTCTTCTCTTACTCGTCTTCTCTTTTGCTTGTACAATTAGGGGTGGTGAAGATCTAAAATAGAGGAAGTAGAGTCGGTCATTCGTAGATGGCGATTTGGCATAGATCTATTGGCGAGTAATTAGCTAGTTGTGGCGGCTAGAGCTTTTTTGTGGGTTGACGGTGACGATGGTGACTAAGGCTTGGGACAGGGACAAAACGGGGCGGAGGCGATCCTCGATGGAGCACTGCTTGTGTTGGATCTGTCGTCCTCGATGAATGTCGGCTCCGATTTGTCTCATCTTACCTTTACAATCTGTCCCACTAATATTTATCACATGCCAGATTATGTAAAATATATTTGATTGTAAAGTATTTTTACTTTATTTTACGCCACCAATTCAATATTAATCACATAAACCACTTTTCTTAATAACCGCACCACTCCTCATGTCCTAAATCCTAATGTTACTGACAATTATGGTCAAAATGATGCTTTCATAGATACATTCGCCCGAGTCGATCTCAAAAATTGATATTTATTATATTTAATATGTATATATTTGACTTTAAAAAATAATTTAAAAATATTTCTGAAATAAACTTTTTTTGAAAGGATTTCTGAAATAAACTTATTTACAGAAATATCATTAAAAGTTACCATGGTATAGTGTCATTGTCACTACATGTAAGGCATCACTTTTGTAAAGAGTCTTTATTTTAGTCATAAATATTTATACTTTGACCCTCATTACATTTATAGAGGTGGTGTTAAATTACTTTTTTGAATAAAATACCTTTATATATAACTACAAAAAATATTTGAATGGTGTCAATGGACAAACATTTCATTTATGTTGGTAGTGACAAATTAATTTTTGGAAGATTTACCTCTATATATTAAACTAAAAAAATTATTTGAGTGGTGTCAATTGACACCACATCCTTACATGTGACTCCGCCACTGTCGGGACACCCTGTAATTTTAGGGTACATTCATTATTTCATATACGGGTTATACACCTGAATTACTAAGAGCCCGTTTGGTTACATTGAAATCGGCTGAATTGACTGATTCTGCTGAAAATCATGAAGTTCTGGCTGAAGTGGTTGTATTGGCAGGTTCATCTGATTTATTAAAAAGTTATATTTTAAATACATTTTATTAATAAAGTAAAGAACAAATTATATGTAAAACTAGCTAAAATGGTCATCTACAGTAACTTCAGCCAATACAGTCAGAAAAATAACTTCAACCTTACTTTTTCTTATTATTACATAATTCTGCACGTGTAATCAAAATTTACATGTTTGATTTAAAAATTGACTGATAAATCTAATAAGCCCAAAAAAAACGAGAGTCACCACACGTGTGACACCGCACCCGAACGTCCTTGAAAATTCGATTTAAAAATTCAAAAGTGATGTATTGAATTTCCGATTTCAAAGCAATGGAAGAAACGATTAACATTTTACGAAGTACATGATTGAATATTGTATTGTTCAAACCCGCATTCTTTTGTAATTTTCATCGTGTAAATTATTGGGATGAGCCTACACATATTGGAGATCAATAATGTGATTTAGGAAGTTGACTTGTGCTAAATAAATTAGGATGAGTACAAAAAGACATCTTTGACAAAAGATAAAACAATAGGACCCATCTTCCCCATTTTTGGAAGTATTGGTAGATAATTTGGATCCCAAAATGATTGGGATCAATTGGGAACCACTCCACATGATATTAGTACCTGCAAGACAAATAAAAATGGGTTAGGAAACTTACCTTGGCCGACCACCATGGGGAGGAGCTGCACAAGACTTGATAGGAATCAAATGTTGGGCCACCATCCCTATTTTCGCACAAAATGGTGTGCTGGTTGTCTCCACTCATTATAGGAGCTATCCTCAACCAAATAACGTGTATGAGGTGTCCTTGGATAGCTCTTGAAGTGTAGTTTCATAATTGAGTGGTCTTTGTTCGAGGAGAGAGAGCTTATCATCCAAAAATCGATCTGGAACGAGCAGTGGTCTGTGAACTCGAGCTGTGAGAGTGCTGAGACTTTTTGCTTCATATCTCGAGTTATACACATCCAAATAAGGCGTATAATATACCCAAAGAAAGCTCTCAAGACGAGGAATCCTCGAAGGTCTGGTTTGCATCAATCGGAGTAGTGGAAGGCCTCCAAATCGACCGAGCAAAACACGACCTCGCAGAATACGTTTTTGTATTCAAAGTAAGTTTGAATCCAAAACCTTCCTCTCTATTGTCTAAATCATATAAATGATTGAAGAACTATTATAAACTGATTGAAGTGTATAAAAATGTTATTATTATGTGACTTTAATTGTTGGAAAGGTTAGATACTAACCTAGAGCAAATCTTGGAAAAACTAGGAAACGAGTTAACCGGGAAACACCCGTTCTAGGGGCTGTTTTCGTATCAACGATTAAGGGTTGAACTAGCACTTTGAGGAGGCTGTTTAACACTCATATTTGAGCAAGGAATCAGTTCCAAATCCACCTTGACCAAAGCTTTGACCATTGGACCAAGAAGGGAAAGTTTAAAGCTCAATTGAGGTGAGGATTGACATCTAATTGCTTACAACTTGTAGGTTAAGCATGAGATTACCTAAATGCTTAAATCATTATTTTTCATGGATTATGATGATCATATATTGATGAAATATTGATATAGTTGCCAAAGAATGAAATTTGAAATGATTTGAGAA